TGAAACTATACAAGTACGTAATTATAGGCGCCAACGTATAGGTAACTAAACTTACACGTTTACGTTTGCTTTGGTCGCGCAACCGATTGTACATTTGAAATTAATAAAAAAAAAAATATTACACTGCTCATGAGTTGGTAAAACGATCTCGTTGTACCATCCGAGAAATAATGCCGCTCTTTCTAGTCCCATAAAATATAATACACTTTGTCAGCGCGGCAAGTGCCCAACGATAGTATAGGGCTTGTTCACCTTAATAAATAAATAATAAGAGTGGACTGTATAATAAAAAATAATAAATAATATGGACAAAGGTTGCAGTACAAAAATGTATTAGGTTGCCTGGTTGGCACAACAAATATAGATAAATAAATCAATGTAATACAATGTATAAATAATAAAATAATAACATGGACGTGGCCCAAACGACACACGACTAAATAAAATGGGTATTCCAAACCTTTTTTACTTAACGGCACACTTGATCATTTTAAAAATTTCCAAGGTACACCACTTAAACATAAAATAATGAATATACATAATGTCTTAATTATATATAATATATTATAATATAATATATATAATACAAATTTAATGTGACATTTGAGACTGGTGTTTTTTACATAATTCCACTATTAGGGGTGAAACATTTGAAACTATACAAACTGTTAAAGGACAATCAATATCACCATTCCACGTAAATCCAAAGCATAAATAATTAAATCAACATAAATCAACATATTTAAGTTTAACTTTAAAATGTAAGCTTTTATCAAGCTGTTAAAGCTGTTTGTTTAATATTAATTTCAATATTTTAACTATTGTCATTTGCACTAACATCGCTACCACCTATTAATTTACGCTTTTTTAAAAATCTATCCATTTTTAAATTTAACTTACAATATTTCTTGATTGAAATACCTATACAGTATAATGCGTAACAATTACACGCGCTCAATTTTCATTATAATGAGCACAGGCCATGTTTTCATATAGTCATTATAGCATGTGGTAAAAGTCAACGCAACTGCTTGTAATACCCGTATCGGGTAGTATCGGATCCTATATAATATTATAGTTTTTTTATCAGGACATTTTATCATTTTTTATTTTCAAGGGAATTCCGAAGTCAATGCTATCATAAAAATAAATTATAATTTTTATTATATTTAGTTATGCTTAAAAAATTATAAAACTACAAAAATTATACGGCACACCTGAAGAATTTCGCAGTACAGTGGCTGGGAAACCCTGATATAAAATGTGTAAATAAAAATGGTAACTAAATGTAAATAATAAATAATTTGCCCGTGTCGGCTATAATACAATGACATACCAATGATCAATAATAATAATATGCTAATATAATATAAGTATATATAATTTTCCTACGAACTGCAAGGGCCGTCGGCCCTTACACAAATGAAACGAAAAACAAATATGGTGGACTAATACTCACGTGAGACTATGTTGAATGGCTGATTGCATCCACGCGACCGCACCAACCCTGTGACTTGACAATTGCTTACGACGGCACACCCGCACTGCCGTGCTAAAGGAAAATAGGATATCTCCAGTCAACATGATAATTGAGAAACACCAAATAACGTTTTCAACAGTGAATCATGCCTAAAAATAACGTTTATACGAAAAATTGGCCAAACTTTGTGCTGATATATCTAATTTTACATCTTGAATTGGTTGAACACTTTTTATTTTAACTTTTTTGAGTTTTTTAAGAAGAAAATGGACTTATCATAAAATCAATATCTGAGTACTAAGCGAAAAATTGATAAATCCATAATAATGGACTTACCCGATTATTGCCATAATATTCTTATCAATATCTATTTAGTAATTTATAAAATAATATATCAAATATGAAATAATCATTGTTTTTAATTGAAAAAATGTGACTTGTTTATGTCACGAACATACCCTTTTTTTCCAACGTACGAACATAAACCAAAACACGGTAACTCCATTCTTTTTCATGTGATATACCAAGTTTCTGCTTAGTATTTGGATTTACCATGTTTTCGCTTAGAAAACATCAAATATACTGGACTTACTACGTATTTTCTTATTTTAAGATGGTTTTTATATAGGAAATACGCTATTTTTACATCAAAAATCGGTGTAAAACCACTAATTTCACCTATAGACACAAAAATATAATTTTTACAAAAAATGGAGTTACCCTGTTTTCGCTAAGCTCGGCAGCGCAGTGTATAAATGAAAATAAATCACAGAGCTTGCGTACGTGCGACAATCACCAACGAAGACGGAGGTTCTACAGCGCAGACAAAGACAATACGAATGAAAACCACGTTAATCACAATGGTTGTTGGTAAGTGACCACCCTGGAACACGGTGATTATAAATGAAAGGCAATACCATTTGCGCAGAACGACACTTACCAAACAGCCGACAAGAAGTACACGAACACACAGAAAACGTGGTTTTACGAAGATGGATGTAGACCAACAAAAAAACTTGAGTACAATTAAAGTGCACATTACGACGAACACGAACAAAAAGAAAAAAGATGGGGCCGACGACATTTGTCACGAAGGCTACGGTCACCGGACAGTGTCCGGCGGACACTATATTTAAGACAAAATGTCTCGGTGCCACCACACCAAAACTAAAAACAAAGGAACTTAAGAAAACTTGTGGCATCGAGAACACGACTTGAAAGTTACACGAAAACATAACGAAAATTAATGAAAACACTGAATAACGGATATTTACGGAATATGATAACAGCGCGATCCAACCAGTCGCACATGGAGGCTTATCGCCGCCATGGAAAATGGCTGAAGATACGCGACGCGCCGCTATGCATCGCACGAAAATGATAACATTCACTACAAACTTAAAAGCTACTGTGGCGCTAAAACACCTGCAATGAATAACGGTGCATCCTAGATGAACGCGATTTTGCGAACGAGCGAGCGGGCGGGCAACGCGATAAATACAAAATAGATTTAGAATTTATGGAATGTCCTATGTAGATGGTAAACAAGCGGGCGGGTGGGTGATTACAATATTATCGCTCGCGTCGTAACAAATATTTTTGTTTCTGACGCGGGCGACGATAGACGTAACTAGAGGGGGGCTTAGAGGGCTTAGCTCCCCTATATATTTCTATAGCCCTCCTAGGTGAAAAATATTGAATCACAGAATTACTGTGAACCATGGATTCAAAAGTAGAAGTCAATATTAAAACTCGCCTAAATAAATTGGGTTTGTACTTTTTCTTTTTATTTGACATTTTTTGCATAGTACTTAAGCAGGGTATTTTCATAAAGTATTGCATTATTTGGATCCATTTTTAAGAATGTACTACATTCACAACAAACAATCATCAACTTGGATTATCAACTTGAAAATAATTGAAAAATATTTACGTCTACAAATCGCCTGCATGCAACCAGGACACTCGCTAGCGCGCAGTGGCGTAGCCAGGGATGTTTTTGGGGGGATGCAACCCCCCCCCCCAGTAATATTAGAAATATTAAGAAAATTTAAGAAAATTTAAAAATTATTTTAATGGTCCATAAAAGTCTTGAAAAAATTGATCAGCCCTACGAAAAAAAATTTTGGCTATACCGCTGCTGGCGCGCGTTGAATATCGCGTCGCCCACCCGCTCGCAAAATCGAGTTCATCTACGACGCACCGTATGACGTGCCAATATCATGGTATCGAAAGAAAAGTACCGATACATTATTGGTATCGGTAGTATCGCAACGTCCCTATATATACGAGTGATATTGTCAATCGCGTTTTAGAACCGGTACAAGCGACCGAAAAAATCAAAAACCGAAAAAAATAAATCATGCGATTTATTCATCGCACAAAAATATTATCGTACGACATTATAAAAAAAATGGTTACAAATTGAGCTGTCCATAAAAAATATTATTGTTTACGCAAGATAATATATATAATAATTATCAACTGCAAATAAACACCCACACACACACACAAACACATCATATAAATTGAACGTAGAGTTGGAAAAACGAAAAAAAGCTTAATCATGATTAGACGATTTCTTTTTTTAACTGACGAGAGTTTAAAAGTGGAAGAAGTAAAAATGAAGGCAAATAATTTAGTTGAAGCCTATAAAACTGATTTGGAATCTGCATTTGTTAACAAGTTTATAATCTTTAAGAACTTTCGAGAAAGTGTCCGAATGTCTCTCAATGAAATGCTAATGAAATAAATAAATATTAAAATGGTAAAATTTTTTTTTACCAATAGGTTGTGAAACAAAATTCGATTTATTCCAATGTAATTCGGCCAAGGAATTCAGTGTTCCTTAAATATGTGAACACATGGTATACCTATATATATGTATAAATATTATATACTTCAATTTACTCAGTGGGTGTAAAAAATTAACAAGTGTAAAATAGTTGATTTTCGAAAAATGTGACAGTTAACAGTTAGAAAGTGTGATATTTAACGTTTTATATTGTGTATTCAGGAATTTTTCAAACATCTATTAGATATGTAACGTTAATAGTTTTGAAGAGACGTTTGAACGCCGAAATAATATTATGTGCAACATTAGGGGCGTATTTAAGTTTTTTATTTTTTAGGGTGGGCTAGACAATTTCCTGTAAGCAAAATTTTACAGTTTAACCAATTAAAAATAAAAATTAGAATTTTAGAAAATAATTAAAATTTTTATTCTATACCTAATCATAACTCTTTTCTATCATGTTAGTGAAATATTTAATAGATACATTACATATCATGAGCAATTTGAAACTTATAATTAATAAAACAATAATAATATGAGCTTTTACAAATTTACATTTTATAGGGTAAAAGCAGACTTACATTTTTTTTAAATTAATACGCTACTGTATAACACTTAACAACCCAAACGGAGGTGGATTCTAGAGGTTAGGAAAAGGAACAGTTAACCGACCGTTATCAGTTCACCAGACCTGCAACGGAAACAGTGATAGCGGTGAGATAATGATATGATTCTTATCAACTTCAGTCAACCGACAATTTGTTTAACAATAACGCTTCCACCGTTTTGGTGCTCCTCCATGGTCTGTTGGGAAACGTTTGCCACCGTAAGTGCCTCAGTTATCGTAAATAATAATAACAATAATAGATAACTAAGTCTTGACTCTTGAATATATTATGTGTTTCCGATTAGGTACATCTGTGCTCGACTGACTAGAAGGAATATCATCATTTATGATACGATAATACTGATTTTTACCTATATTTTCATCATGCCCCCGAAAAAAAATGCTAGTGCCAAGGGACCAAAGACCAATGCCAAAGGGGGGGATGACGACAAAGGAAAGGAGAAGAAAGGTGGTTCAGCCGTTAAGGTAAGATTTGTAGTATGAATCGTACTCTTATAGTTATATGCATAATATAGTTCATGCACGCGACATATGTCTTGATTGTATAGTAATACTTCACCACTAATATTGTGGCAATCAGTTTATAAAATTCATATTTTAAACACCTGTAATAAGTTAAATAAATGATACAATGTCATTATTAGTAGCTCTCAAGCTTGTAATAATGTAACATTTCAAATTAGTGTTCAAATTCAAATTAAATTTGTGTGGTTGGAAATCCAGACCTAAAAATTGCTAATATTATTCTTAAAAACAGAAAACCATTAATGAATCTTGAATTATCTCAGGTTAGACACATTCTTTGTGAAAAACAGTCCAAAATATTGGAAGCTATGGAAAAGCTCAAGGCTGGAGTAAAGTTCAATGAAGTTGCCACACAGTACAGTGAAGACAAAGCCAGACAAGGTGTAAGTTTATTTTTTAATTGTCTACTTCCATGCATTGATTAATAAAAAAACAATTTTCATAAACATTTTTATATTATTTAAATTAAAGCATAACAAATGTAACATAACATTTTTAAATAATGATAATCATAAACGTTTAAGTTTTTTTTTTTCCATAGTCTGTAATCAATAGTTATATAAGTTTTAAACATTATAATTTTCAAAATTCTTGAATTTAAAAAAATATTTAAAATAATTGCAAAATATCAGTTTAAAATTTAGACTGATATTTAAACTTCAAGTGAATAAAATAGTATAGTTCCTTGACTGTTACTATAATACATTTTAATTGAAAATTAGTTTATAATTATCAGTATTGCTGAATAATATTATACATCGTAGTATAACTTAAACTACTTAAACTATTATAAATAATCATATTATTATAACACTCATACATAATATTTGTCTCAAAATATATTAATAATTTCTTTATTTTATTATGAAAAGTTAATATTATAACTTCACAAAACTATTTTATGATATCAGTAAATTATTCAGTTGAGACAATTCCTTAATTACTTTATATTTAATGTATTTATATTCCATATTTTTAGGGTGATTTAGGATGGATGATACGTGGTTCAATGGTTGGTCCATTTCAAGATGCTGCATTTGCTCTTCCAATATCAAGTCTCGGTAATCCTGTTTACACCGATCCACCAGTCAAAACTAAATTTGGCTACCACATTATTATGATTGAAGGGAAAAAATGATAATTTTTACTCTTGTTGAGAGTACTATACCATGTCATCAATCAAAAATTAGTACTCTATTTTTGATTTTAAGTGGACTATACTGTGATAGTCAACAATTAATAAGAATCGAAATTATGTTAATATTTAATGACAATTGCATGCATATGTAAATAAAAAAATATGCCATCATTTTTTTTAGTATTGGTTTAATTTATAAAATAATTCACATTTAATGTGTGATCTAAAATTGCAATCATAATACCTTTTATAGAAGTTTTATCATAATTCTATATTTAAAAATAAGTGTTTATTTTTATGAGATTTACAAGTATAACTTAGCATCTAATATAAGTTATAATACAGGATATTGATAATACTTTTAAAATTTTTTTTTAAAATATGAGTTTAACTTATGTATGATTGTCTAAATATTTTTAAACTTAACTACTTTTATTATAAGTTGACTGATTTAATTGGAACCAACACTAATATTTTGCAAATAATTTCAGATTGGTTTGTTTGATTTGCAAATTAAATCTCTAATTTCACAAGCTCTATCAGTGAACCAAATTAGGACTTAGAACAATTTGACCAGAATACATAATTAGATCCATTTTTGGGATATTTTGACGCAATGCATCGCAATTAGGACAATTTAATTGATTTAAAGAAATATTGATACATTTTGTAAAATATTTATTAACTTGCTGAGTAGATCAAAATGTTCCCAAAAGAATCAAATAGTTCCCCGAAAATATTTTAACCCATGGGAACTGATTAATTCATAATGTATACAATTTAATTTTTTTTTTTTTTAGATTGTGTTGATGTTTTTTATCTGACACCATTAAAGTCAATAAATGGTTATTAGAAAGAAAGTATATATTAAAATCATTTTTAAATATATTTTGCTTATGTTGTTGATTTATTTGAGTTTAAAAAAATAATTTAATTTGCTGAATAGTTGAAAAGAATTAGTTCAAGTACCTATATGAAATTAAAGTACAAATGGTTATTTCTTGTCGAGAGCCAACTAAAACCGTGCATGATGCACATTGTGTCATCGTCAATAACCATGATCTATAATAATAATATGTTCTATTTTATATTGTTATTTATGTAATTACAAATTTGTATAATTAATGTATTCTCATGATTTATGTACACATATTGTATATTCAAATAAACTATCCAAAATTATTCGAGATTGTAAATGTGGATTGGTTATTTTGGTGGGACTGGAGAAAATTTGCAAAAAAATGACAAAAATTAGAGATTTAATTTGCAAATCGTAAAAACCAATTTGCTATTAATTGCAAAATATTAGTGTTGGTTCCAATTAAATCGGTCAACTTAGTGGGGCTACATGAAATTAGCCCCCCCCCTAATCGAAAAATGTTTATTGCCACGTGGAGGGTGATTTGTAAATTCTATAAATTAATTTGCAAAATATTGACAAAAGTTTCGAGTTTATCTATCAACATTATGAGACTTATGAACGTGATGAACTTTATGAACGTGATAAGAGTGCTGAGAAAGAAGTTTTACGTGTTACATTATCAAATAATATGTACTATGCCTCGACGGATTGACAAAATGTCTTCAGATATCCAAAACAAGTTTCTAAAATTTATGTTATGGTCAAAAGTTTTCATTGCAAATTGATGAACCGACTAATATTAATTATTTACACTTTTCTGACATGAAGAATATTCCCGGAAAATTTCTCGGACATGTTCATGATTTTACTTTCCCGGCAAAGTGCCCATTCGTGAAAGCACGTTTTCATTTTTTGACCAACTGTACATATCAGCCGCATGTCACGTTTCATTTTAAAGTTGTCTACAATTTTTTTTTTTTTTTTATTAATCAAAAAAGTTCAAGAACACCTGGTTCTATATAATCACAGAGAGTGTTCCTACCTTCATGCAAACAACATTAAGCACACGTTTCACATTAACATTTATAATTACGATAATAAATCAATATTATTTAATCCGAATCATTCAAACTAATTTTTTAACATTTTATAATTATTTTTATTTTTTTATTTGAACTTTATACAACAATTAGTCTCAAAAATTATTAACAAAGAAACAAATAAACTAAATATAAATTTTAACAACTAATTAAAAATAAAACGTTCACCTACAACCAAATTAAATGTTAAAAATCCAGCCAAGGTAGAAGAGAGAAACGGTAAATAAAATTACCGGAGGCTATCAGGAAGAAAGAACGAATTTAAAGATATTTTAAAGTTAATTTCAATATTGATAATATTGAAATATTTTTAATGTTTGAGTAGTCACAACACAGCCTTCGGGGAAACACTGCTGTAAACTATAACACTACGAAAACCCATCGTCGTCGTATCAGGAAATGTACACCGGCATACACTTCGATTTAAAGATCCGCATCATTCCGTTCGGGCACCGGTTGATCGTGCGTCGGGGGATATGGATGTTGTACTGCAGACCGGTGAACATGGGCGACTTGTAGTCGAAGACGCTCAAAGGTTTCCGGCTAAGGATCCCGAGCTTCGCATGTGGTTCTCGTCCAAGGGCAACCGACAGCGACGGCGACGATTCCTTCGAGTCCTGCGACGGCGGTATCGGGACCTGTGAAACGTTCTCCGGGATTCCATTCGTCTGCGCGCTAAAAGTCCTAGCCATCACGCTCGCCGAGGCGATGACCACCACGAACACTGTGAATGAAAGCGCGAAACCCATACCGATCGGAGAACGTATAATATTATTATAGTAGTTTACACGCGGTGTGGACCGTTGGCGGCTGTTCGCGGACGAATATTATAATTATTATCAATCATCACCGCGCGATGCACTGAAATTCAAGACCGATTACACGAACGTGAACAAGCGTCACAACAGTACACGCGGCTCCCCCGTTCCGACCACGTATTGAACTTTAATAAACCTGCAGGCGTCAACCTGTACACAAATCGTACTTGTGTTCGTTTCCACCGTGTGTTATTGCGATTTTTATCGCAATATAATATATAAACATTTATTAATTTCAATCATCAATACATTTGTATTGCATGAATATGATAATGATGAAACAATAATATTGTTACATCGTTATCATATTCATGTTACACATATTATGTGTACGTCCATTCGTTAAGCAGGTGCGGTCGTTCTTCGCGAATCGGACTTCGTCTCGTTTCCCCGTCTGTTTCCGGTGATCGAATTATCGGTCGTCAAGGGTCGCGTGTACACTACCGTGCGAGCGCATTCCAATAGCCGGTCATCGAATACGGATAACACATGATTACGAATCAAAAATAAAAATAGAAAATTTAATAATAAATAAATTACAGTTACTCGGTAAAGATACGGGGTTTTGTGGTACGCGCGAACGTTTCAAGTGTATACCTGACTTTGTTTAACCGCGGAAGGCCTGCACAAGTCGGACAAAATCGAATTGGGTCCTAGATTTCGAAAACAGCATGAATTAGGTCTGCACGTGTTTTATGGAGTACATCAGTTGAGTCCTCGTTTATATTATGGAGTACATGAGTTACCTATTAGCGTTACCCAGGGAAACACCATGTGGGGGTTGGCTAGAATGCCCCTTTTTTTTTCGTTTTATTTTCTCTTAGCAGGGTTATTTCCCTTTTGTACCTTTGTTTTATTAATTTTTTCATAATACCAAGTTGTCTCTTTATTTATAACAGTTTTCACTTTTTTCGTTGTGTACAATTTTTTTTTTTTAATTTCTACTACAATAGGTACATTATTACTACCTATTTTTTAATGGAGAAATTTTATATTTTTATTATGTTAAAATTGGTGTTTTATTAAATAAATTATTATTTAATGATTTGTTATGTTATGGTTTTTTCCTCTAAATCTCTTAACCTTTCATTTTAAGATGCTATTTTTTTTCTACAATATTACATATTGTATTACAATATATTATATAACTGTACTTGTCTATATATATTTTAATACATATTAATATTACAGTAAATGTTTACCCTTTTTTATATTTAATTAACAATTTTCACTTTTTCTAAATGTAGAGATTTTTTAATATTTACATTACTTCTACTGCCCTACGTTTTTTTTTATAATGATTGTTATTGATAATTTTTTTGCGATAATAAAAAAATTAAACTACTGTTATGCTTATAATTGAGTATAATTGTTATGTTGTTTTAATGTTTGAATCGTGTTATCTCTGGAATTTTTTTTTTCAGTTTTATTCTTGTAAAACTTTTAACTGTATGCCAATTTCATGTACCTGAAGTTAGCCCCTGCCTATATCCAATCGAATCCGGATCTATCATCAAATTTAGTAACCTTTAAATTACTACTCGTAACTGACATCAAAAAATTTGTAACTAAACAGTTTCCAAAAAAATTCAATATTAATATCGAGGGTCTAAGATATTATTAATTTATTATAGTAATTGCAAAATTTTCAAAAATTGTAATACATTGAAAGTTGTAAACTCTTGTAATTGCTAAATAACATGTTGATTTCATACAAAAAGACATTATATATAAATACCTACTTATAGTTTATCATTTGCAACTGACACCCAAGACTTTTTTTTTTACGATAAAAATTTTGCCTGACAAAATTAATATTTTTCTCAAAGGAAAAGCTTAAGTTTGATACTTGTATGATGTTTCATCACGTTCTCCAATTTTATTTATTTAAATTTTATTTGATGGATATTTTAAAAAATAATATTTAGTAGATAACATTTTAAACTTGTTATCAATTATTATTTATAATCTTAATAAAATATTTAATATATAAGTTACTAAAATAGTATTTCAGCTACTTAATTTTGTAATGTAAATCAATATTTTCAGAAAACGATTCAGAATGAAATTCAATTTTCAAGTTTAATTTTATCATTGATTATATAATATACTATACTACTAGTCTATTATATAGTCAATGATTATATAATATACATAAGTTCAATATTTAGCTAGTATAAAATTATATGAAAAATGATTGGACGCAACTTTAAAATCTTATGTAAAAATATTCCGTAATAACTAATTATGAGTATAGCATAATAATTTGAATAGATTAAATAATATAAGTAAAATTAATAAATTTCGAATTTCACTGTATGTAGATTCTTAGAGCACACGTAAAAATATATCACCAATAGAAAATATAGACTAATCATTATCGTCAAAAACACGA